ATTATGGCGAGTTACATGTCCCAATTCAAAATGCATCTTACCTTGAGGCGCCTAATTGCCTTTTTAGCAATTTTTCTAAAAGCCAAAACAAGGGTATTTTCTTAAATAAGATTGGGAAATAATTTTTAGGGTTTTTTGGGATTCTTAAAAACCTTCTCTAAGAGGAAAAATGATGGAAATACAACAATATCAAAAATTTCAAAGTTAGGCACGACATGATTGCAGGGTCACAAATGGGCACAAGGGGGCTACATTTGCACTCTTATCACATGATGCTAACATGTTCATTGAGCCATTATGTCATACTTGTGCTTGTTAATGTTTGGAATATGGGTGTAGAGACACGTGTCAGATGCCATTTATTGATTGAGAGAAGAATACACGTCACAAGATCTCTCATAAATGTGTAAAGTTATAATTGAGATATGTCACCTTCTAACCGGAACACGTATAAGTTACATAAAATAATAAGACACGCTATCAGTCGATACTCAACTGAGTCACCTCTTAAAAATCGTGATGGATTTTTTTGACCTTTTTTTTCAAGACATGTGTTCTTTAACATAGAGATTATGAATATGAAAGAATAAATGATTTTTAAAATTTAAAATAATTATTTATTTAAAAAATTATTTAAATATTATTTTTAATAATCTTTAGATGGATCATCTATTTACATTCATTTTTAAAATAAATATTTTATATCTCGAGACAGCAAATATAAAAATGCAATCTCCCGCCGCATGGAGCAATTTTTCAAAGTAAAATATAAAAACTTCAAAGGGATTTCATCCCTCTAATCTCATGTGAAAGAAGAGAGGAGATGGGCATTAGCTGTAGCATGCACCCTCTGTCTCTCTCTCTTCGTATTCTCATGCACTTAACGTGTTTTAGAAAAACATAATCAGATTTCCTATTGGTTGATTTCAACTTAAGGCATAGTTTTATGTATAGTTTCAAATAAAGGAAAATTAGGATTTGGATAGCTAGGCGACGATATGTCAATCTCAAAATTTGATTGATGATAGCTCTTCAAAGGTTGAATGGAATAGATAAAGCCTCTCTTCACATCATAAATCTCCAATATCAATGTCTCAAATTATTATTTTTGAATAAAAAAGATGTGCTGGGGAATGTTAGAGATGTTCATTAGGCTTTGTTTCAGTCATGTTTATGTATGTATTAAATCCCTTTGCATTAGTGCTTTACTGTAACTTTAATGGTAGTGTATTTGTTCATGGACAAGGGATTATTCCTGTACTTATTATTATTGTTATTATTATTAATTTTTTTTTCTTTTTTTTAAAAAAGAACAATATGAAGCACCTTTATACACATCCAACATAAATTAGTGGAATGAGAATAAGTTACATACGGAGGAATCGGGCCTACCAGTCCCAATGCCACCCAACTTCCAAAAATAAGGGGCAGACTCCCTATTAATAGAGGTAAATCAGTATAACAGATACTTTATCTAGAAGTGTCTTAAAAAACTGGGATATTGAGAAAAGTTTAACAAATTCTTCACTCATTTCCGTTGTGGCTGAGAGATTCTCATCCAAACATAATTGTACTTTAGAGATACTGAATTGAAGGTAATTAATAACTTGATGATAGTGAGAGGACTTCGTATTTTGAAGTTTGTGGTAAAGTACATTTGTTAGGAGGTGTGAGTTAGTTTAAGTAGAAGGATTGCAAAAGGCCAAGGGGAGATAGGTCCAAAAAGACGTGATTGACAGTTGTCTGAAAAGATATGGGGATTCATGGCCTCACTGAGGGTATGACCTTAAATAGAGTGGAATGACGGACTAAGATTCGTGTAGTCGACTCCAATTAATTGAAAAAAAGTTATGATGATGGTAAAGTACAATGAATATTATTTTCAAACGTTCATGCTCAAAAAGCCACTGGAAATGTATATGATGAGACCATTTATTTCTGATACGAGGTCACAGTCATTATTGACTGTTAGATTTGAAATCGAAATGATTGAGAATGTATCATTGTTTAGCCATAACATCTAAAACAAAATATCTCGAATGTTGGAGCACACTTTCATCTATTGAATTTCACATCCAATGACTACAAGTGATCATGACCTCTTTGTACAAAAAATAAATAGCCTCACATTATGCAATCCCAAAACCATTCATTTGGTGTTGTATTTTGCAAAGAAGTCCAAGAAAGAGGATCTAAACGTTGTCTATAAACATAGCACACACGGATTCTCATTCACATGCAACATCCTCCACTATTTAAGTTGTTTCTCCGACTGAAAGTGAATTCTCTCAGCAATTAAAACAAACACAATATTTGGGCAGTTAAATGGGTTGTTATAATTTCCAGAGGAGGATTGAGAATCACATTCCCAAGGATTTGTAATGGAAGTGTATCATATTCAAGCACAAACTGATATGTTCTCTTTGGCCACGGTTAGAAATTTAGTCATTCCCAAGTCTGCTAGGGTCCATCATAAAAAGGAAAAATAAAATATAGCGAGATTTTTTTTTTTTTTTTGTTTTTTGTTTTTTTTTTGTGAAAAACAACCTTATTTAACTATCCCTGAGATAAAATTTCATAGGAAAAACATGATTCGGAGCTCCAAAAATTCTCCATATAATTGTTGAAATTTTACATACGCTCTGATACCATGATGGAAATTTTTGGATTAGGGCTGATATCACTGTTGGTACTTTTTGGAAAGATGTGTGGGTGCGTCTAAAGTATTTGATTACTAAAAGGAAGTACACATTCTTTTCTTTGAGAGATAATCACAAACATACAAGGTTTTTCACATATATCTCATTTTATCGGTTACGTCCATAGGTTACACACAAGTTACATCTACTGGTTGCATCCACATGTTACATCTTATCCCATTACATGGTGCCTATTACAACAATTTTGAAGCTACCCACAAACCTTTGTGTTTTGATACCTACCTACAAAGCCTACATGATTAGATAACTCCCCACAAACATATGTGATTAGATAACTCCCTACAAAATAACTACCCACTAATAGCCACTAACATAGAGAGATATAGAGAGATAACTACCCATGACTCATAACTACCCTCACATCTACTTTGAGTGAGAGAGAGATAAAAAAGACACGGACCCACAACTCCTATTATTTTGCATCATTTTCAACAATAATGACTTGTCAGAGACCGACTTTAAACTGTCAATTTGAGAGAGAATTAGATTTGGCTTGTAAGGCCTCCAAAGCAATTTTTGTTTTCACAAATTAGTCATAATTTTCTAGATGGGGTTTACCGAGGGGAGTAAATGGATAGAGTATACCCCTTCGAGAGTATAATAGGATACAAACTGTATGCATACAATGCGAGCACTTTGATCAGCTTGAAAAGAGAGTTGGTGGCACATGAATATGAGCCAAGGGCTGTAAACATTTCATTCTAAAGTAACAATGGAGATATACATTAACAAGCCAAACCAAGCACTACATTCGAAAGTCTCCCTAGATATCATGTATCTCAACCACACAAAGAAACACATTAAAATAATAGTTGTGAAACAAGCACTACACAATAACCATAACTCTAAAAAGTCATCTTAACACGTAATGCATAGAAATAGGAACACTTGATATTCGATTTATTGTTGGGATTAAGAAGGTGAGGCTACCATGGCTATTCCCACTTTTCTCTCAATTGGTAGGGATGCCTGAAAATATAGCTGAAGACCAAGCTTTCATCCATTCTCCTTAACATATACCTTTCCACCAAGGCATATAATGAGAAGGTCCATTGACCTTTATGACTAGGGTGGAGGACCTTCTCCACTCTCACATCCTTCTTATCCCCTCCGTTTCCAATTATATTTTGGTCCCATTTTATCTTCTCCATAATTACTTTGCTCAGGCCTATTCCCATTAGTCCTCCTTGCACACCACTTTTTCCTTTTGTTTCAAACCACACTAAGCCATTCTCATGGTCTTGTGTTTCATATGTTGCCTCCTTTCCCAGTAAGAGACCTTCTTCACTCCTAATACTTGTATCCACCATAACTGTTCCACCTCCAAATCCTTTACAACTGTGGATCTCCTCCCATTGCTGCTCCAAGCTCATCTTATAATACATGCTCTCCTTCAATTGCTGTTTTGGCTTGTCAAGCCCCCCTTTTTCCTTAACAAAGATAAAAGGACAGTACCACTCCCCTACTTTGATGCATATCGGCTCTTCTGCGGGGTTTGCGGCATCCCAAGGGGGAAATTGTGCTCGAAGAGAAGAATTCATGCCTTCGGCTCGATCCAATTTCAAACTCTTTGATTTTGAAATGTGACTTGTCCACCCATTCCTTCGTAGGAAAAGCGGTGGGTAGCCATCTGATGCTACAGACTTGCTAGTATAACTTTTACAAAAAAGTTTTTTCTTAGGAATAACGTTGATATGTTGATAGATATTATCAGGATTGAAAGGACATGGAATCTTGTCTTTCACACATTTACAGCAGCCGAAGGTTGTCTTCTCGGCGTCCTGTGAAGAAGTACACACCAACCTGCCCATGGTGATTCATTGATTTAGCTCCCATCCATGTTCGGCGACAAGTAGAAAGCAAGAATAGCCAGGAAAAAACTTGAGAAAATACTCGAATACAAATTATGAAACAGAAAAGACTAAAAGATGGAGAAAAATGTACGACAGTTTAAAGTTTTGTTGAAAGAAGTTTTTTGTCCCTGCAGTTAGGGATAGAAATTGAGATTCAGAAACAAAATTTAGACAGAATTTTCTTTTCTTTGTTCAGTTTGAAACACGGGAGAGAAATCTCTCACTAAAAAGATAAGTCGAGTGCTTACCCCTTATGTTTGCCATTTTCTTTGACAGCATAGTAGATATTAGATGACAAGGGCTGGCCGAGGACCGGGATGAAAAAGGCGTGATCGATGTGAATGAAAACGGTCTGCGGTCCATATTGCTGAGTGTAACACATACGAATGCATTTGTCCTGTGGAAAGGGCAACTCCCTCACTTTCGTATCCTCGCATAGTCCCCAGAAGCAAGTGCTTACAACTGAATCTTCCCCACAGTCTCGGAGGAGAAGGTAGCCGGAGAAAGGACCCTCCGGTGGCCCAAGAAATTGGCTACCCACCAAGTTCCCATCTTTAGCAGCCTGCAAATAGTGTGATAATGGTCGAGTAACATACATAATGAAGAAACTAGTATTTCAATTCTCCTAAGGGAGCGTTTGACAACTTGAATCGCAGTTTCCCTCAGAAATGAATCAAACTAAGAGGCTTGAGAAATGAGAGGATGGAAAGATCAGGGACATGAAAAGTGGGAAGTGTTTCACGTACTCCTCTATATTGTGGAGGATAATACTATCCCCACATACAATATATATATATAATAGGAGTACATGAGAGAGTGATTTATTGTAGATTGATCCTTCGAGTAAACTTCATTGATCGATTATATTAAGCAATGATAATCACCCAAAAGATATGTCAAGCAATGAAAGAATGATATATACTATTGCTAACGTTAGAGAAAACTTCAATGATGGATTCTATTAAGCAATGATAATCACCCAAAAAAAAAATTTAAGCAATGAAAGAAAGTTATATGCTATTGCTGACATTCAAACAAAATAAAAAAAAATTATATGCTATTGCTTCTCTTCTTTAACATAACTTTTGTAATGGTTTGGTATGAAAGGCGATTGAACCCGCAACATTGAATAGCCAATTAGAATGCATGGTGGTTGCCTTCCAACTGTTTTTCTAATTCAAATTTAGTTATATTTTTTGTTGGTCAAAGTCGTAAGGCAAGTACACACCCACAAGTCATTGAAATTCAACAAATAGTTTAAAAAGCTAAGCTATATCCAACCACATTGCTATGGTTGACTTGCGAAGTTTCTTAGCATTTTTAGTTCTCCAAATTGTGGCATTTTTTAATGGGTGTGGTTTGTATGACATTGCAATCTTAGACAATCAAATCAAGGTGCACGTTCAAATTTTATCATAAATATAATTTTAGTGTAAAAATTTATTAGGATGGCTTGAGAATTTATTTTCATTTTTAATTATAAAATTTTAAACTTTAAAACTGGTTCAAATCAAATAGATCTATGAACGCTTGAAAATCTTGAAACTGGAAGGTCCAGATAATGTTTTTCAAAATACACTATTTTTAAAACTCGAAATCTTTTTTCGCTTTTTAGATTTATAAATCTCGATCAATTAAAGGGTTTTCCAATATTAAAAGAACCTTTCATGATGGATTTTTGAGGTGTACCTTGATCTAGGTTTCAACTTTCAACCTTACATGAACTTTTTCCTTATTTATTAGTGAGATATTGCAGGAGAAAGTTGTGGCATTATTTGGTTCATCTAAAATTTTGGAAAGCACTTAAAATTCTTGAGATGAATAATTTTAAAAAAAAATTTAGATAAAAGGGATAATTCTATGTCAATGTGGAGGCATAATTTCTTTAAGTATTTTAAATTAAGCCCCTTAACTTGAGGTTGAGAGCTCACTCAAAGCAAGGGAGTAAGTGGACATTTCACGCCTGCAGTAGCATGAAGAAATATTACTAAAGTATCAGATTGTTTAGTCTTCGGAAATTGGCTTTTATCCGGAGGAAATTGAATCGGTGTCACCTGATCTAGATCAATGGTCTAGAATCACTTGGTTTCAACTATCCACCTTACGTTTATTTTCTAGTTATTACGTTCCCCAAATCGGCCGATCTAAAGTAATCTAGATTATTATCAGTGTTTGTAAAACTGGCCCGGTCGACTCGTACCTGGCCTGGTTACTGTAGAGTTTTGAATGTTTTCTATTGTTTCTAATTTGGTCATAAATACTTATTTTCATATTTTTCTTTTTTTTTCGAATCATTTCTAAAATACCCTTAAAAATTTAATTTTTCAAAATCCATTTTCTACTACCTTTTTAATTTCATTTGGATGAATTTTGTTTAGTTATACTTTAAATATATTTTTCCCATTTTATGGGACTTTTTGATATTTTTACACCCCTCTTTTGCCCGGCCAAGACCTGCCCAGCTCGGGACTACCCAGACCAGTTCCAGGTTATTCGGACCCGGCCCATGGCTAAGTTCCACGGCCAGTTAATGCAATCGAACACTGATCATTACATGAGGGGGCTGACGCCAAAACTCAGCTTTGGGTTTTAAACAAAATCTATTGTCACTGCCATTCCAAAATACTCGCACCGTTGAATTCAAGGGATGCCATGTAAATTAAACGAGAAGCTTTTTAGGACTCGAGTGAGAGAGGAGTATGGAGTCCCAAGTGTTGTCGAAAGATTTTGCATCCTCCGTAAGGATGATGGAGTTTTAGGCGTGGTTGTAGAACAGCAGGGGTGTAACGAGTGTGCCTTGACTCGCCAAGCCCACTCAGGACTCGAGTGAGAGAGTCCGGCGATGCCAAGTTTCTCAAAATTGGGTGTACAATTAAGGGATATAAAACAATTTTAAGTTTTTTAAAAAATAATTTAAAAAATGTTGGTTTGTTTTATAATTTTTTATATATTATTTGGATGTATTTTACAAAAATTGATGAGTGTTTTTCGCCATAATCACCATTTTTATGTTAGTGATGCACTATGTCAGTGTAGTTATTCAGTAGAATTGACTTGCTCTATGTCACAAGATATCATCTAAAATTTATGTAGAAGAATGATGAGCCTCATGGAAAAAGTGATATATAGAGATCAATATTCAATAGGCCAAGTTCATGAGAGTACTAAAATAAATAAATAAATAAATAAAAATCTCATTATTTAGTTTCTAAGCATTACGATTATATCAATAACAATACAGGCAACACAACTTTTTGACCATGTCTACAGGAACGGCACCCGATTGCATATTAATGCATCTAAGCAAAGGAACAAATTTACTTTCTAACATTAAAAAAAAAACATCATAAAAGTATTGAGAAAAAAACAGATTAACAAAAAAGAAAATAAAAAATACTACCATAATATTAGATTTAGTCATTAAAGAAAAAATACATGCCGCAAGTTTAGATTTTATAGCATTAAAACAAAATTGGAGATAAATTTAAAAAATCAGAGTTCTTTCCCATGAAAATTACAAATTAATCAGATAAAATTGAATATAATTATTTCAAATTTAAAAGTTAATTTTCTGCACAATTATTTTTCAGCAAAATAATTTTAAAAAAATTACTCAAGCAACTAAAAAATCATATTATAAAAATATGAAATGAAAAGTCACAAGAAATTCGTACTTGATTTCTTCACCATTTTTCTTCTCAGGATCTTATTTCTGGCAAAATGAAGCACGAAAATTTCTTAGTTCAACCAAATTACCATTGTGATCATGTGATGCACTCTCTAATCTCCAAAGGCCTAAATTTTGATTGAGAAATAATAAAAAACGACGGAGAAATCGATCATTGGGCGGAATTTTTCGAACTCAGGACTGAAACTCTGAGTCCCAGCCCTAGACACTAAAACTAGAGCACAAAAAATTATCTTTTCGATCAAATTAGGACTGGGATCTTGTAAGGAACTCTCTGATTTCCAAAGGCCGAAATGTTTTACTGAGAAATTAAAAAAATGAGCCCAAAATCAATTGTTGGGCGGACGTTTTTTAACTCAAAACTAAAACTCTGTGTCACAGCCCTAAACTCTAAAAATAGAGCACCAAAATTGATCTTTTCGATCAAATTAGGAGCGGAATCTTGTGCGGAACTCTCTGATCCCCAAAAGGCACCAAATTTGGTTGAGAAAAAAAATAAAAAAAGAGCCCAAAATCCATAGATGGGCAGAAGTTTTTGAACTCAGAACTGAAACTCTGAGTTGCAGCCCTAAACACTAAAAATCGAGCACCAAATTTGCTCTTTCGACCAAATTAGGATTGGGATCTTATGAAGAACTCTCTGATCTCTAAAAGACCAAACTTTTGACAGAGAAATATATAAAACAAGCTCAAAATTGATCGTTGGGCGGAACCTTTTCAATACCGTGAAGAACATCAAAAAAGGGGCTCAAAAATTATATTTTTGAGGTTTTTTCGGTTGTAAATATTTGATTTATATACTAAGATCAATTATTTCATCATTAATTAACCGTAAAATAATAAAAAACCTTGAAAAAATAAGAAAATTGAATCAAAGTGGAACCCGTGGGTCGCGGGTCCATTTCTGCATCAAATACCGGCTCCATTTCTCATAACACCCGTTTTGATAGTTATAACGCCTGATATTTCGGTAAACCGCCCCGTTAGCCAAAAACGATCTAGTTAATGTGAATTCTGGTCGGTTTGTGCACAAAGCAGCCAATTTTATGGGATAGTATAATTTCCACACGATCCGGATGCTTGAAGGATGCCCTAGCACCCTTGGATTAAAACTAGCAGCATCCAACAACAACAAAATAATTGCCTTTTTTTTTAAAAAACAATATATTTGTTTATAACTTGGCATGCATATAAACTTTTAATAAAAATAACCAAATAAAAATAAAAAAAATATTTTGAAGAAAAATAAGTAGAGTTCCCTTAAATATTTCAGAGGTACATTGGTTTTTTAAATTATTTTTTATAATTTTTATTTTGTGCATCATATGAAAATACATCTATGCTCTAAATTTTAAATATATGTATTATTAAATAAAAATATACATATTAAAAATAAAACTATTTTATGGTTGTAAGATGTAGCCTTATCCAATGGGAATAGAGGTGCATCCTTTCACTTTCCATGTGATGTGTTTGAGAGACTTTTCAATGTTTTTCTATAAATTTTTACATAGAATTTTTAAAAAATATGATATTTTAAAAGGTAAAGTTTATATAAGATATAAGGTTATAATGCTCTGTATTAATTGGATGATGTAGATTTGACTTGTCTTATAAAATATGGTCCACTTGTTAAAAGAATGGATTAATGTTTATAAAATAAAATCATAAATATTCAAACATCCACCTAGCTTTAGCATTATACGAGGGTAGGCACGTTTGGGGAGATTACAATGCAACGTCTGACCGACTCATGCAGCTTCTTCGTTGAATGCTAAGGGCGTGTTTAATAACAATAAGTTGTTTTCAAGAAAAAGTGAGTAGGCTAAAATGGTAACTTACCTATTATCGTATAACTTCTCCGATTTAAGCTTAAAAAAAATTCGATCGATTTAGAGGGAACTCAAATCGAGATCTTCAAAGGGGAAGTTCCCACTTGAAGAACCATTACTGAAACGAGGTTTTTACTTTTTACCTTTGTCCCTGTCCACCCTATGGCCTCTAGTGTGATGCCTTCTCTCTCTGTTTAAGTCGAGTAGCTTTGCTTTAAATTTTGGAGGTTTTCATAGAACAACAACCCTATAACACTGAATAAAGGCAAACATCATATTTTTATGAATGATTGTTGCTTATCTATTAATTGGGTATGTT